TATAAATGCCCAAAAACTCTTCTTATTCATAACTGACATAGCTATAAATGCCCCAAGACTCTCCTTATTCCCTCCAGCTATAATTGCCCTCATGTGATTAATTGTTCAATTATTTCCCCCCCTTGATTGTTGACCTTTCCTCTTCCTGGCATTAATTGGGGCCTATCAGACACAAACCTCTGAATTGGCTAATTTTCCATTTTGTCATGAATACTAGAAATCACTTCATGCCATAACCTACCCATTTCTAAAAGCTACCTTCAGAACAATTTTCCTAACAATGTAATATTCTTCTTAACCAAATTCCCAATAGCCAAACCTACTTCTTTCTTACTTCTACATACTATCTCTCAATTGATCAAATGATCTTTCTTTCCTTCTCCCAGCCCCCAATGGAAATTCCTCATAATTTTCTTTATCTTATTTGCCTCCTTTTGCAATATTCTCAAAGCTTAAAGATAATAAACTGGAAGATTTGTGAGGGTTGATTTTATTAGGGTGATCCTACCTCCCAACAAAAGGTAATTTATTTTTTCATCACGCTAGTCTTTTCCCACACCTTTCCACATTTGGCCACAAAAACTACATTCTTTGGGATTTGCACCTAAGGCTCAGTTTGGAAGGAGTACAAATACAAATATGTAGAGTGCTGAGTGCAAAGAGTACGAATACAAATATGTACAGTACAAATACATAGAAAATAATACAAATACAAGGTTTTTCACTCTACATATTTGTATTTGTACTCCTTCCAAATTGAGTCTAAAGGGAGACCTACATAGGTTAGAGGCCAGCTAGTGGTAGCACACTCAAAGCAGGCTGCTATATACATAAATTATTTATTTACTGATAGAAAAACAGTAAAGGCAAAGGAAGTTCAGCAAATAGAGGGAATGGAAAGGGGAAGTTCACTAGTCTTTCTTATCTAAGAAAGCTGTTGAGTTGTCACCCTTGTCTTTTAACCTTATAGCAGTGCAGAGCATTTGATGTATTTTTAGGTTGGGAATTTACATATTTGGTGCCTACTGTATATTCGGCTATACAGTTTCTGTCTTTGGGGTTTGGAATTCTGAGATTCTTATATAGTTTCCCTTCCTCTTGCTCCTATTCCTGCATAAATTTCTTTTCTATTAAGGTATTTTATTACAAATTAAAATAAGTTTCCATTATGTGGTTTAAAGGGAACACAGTTGATAAGAACTCTTGTTCTAATAAATGGAACATCATTTTGTTTAACAAATATTTAGAATCTTACCTGTTCCAAGTATTCATTTAGACGCTTTAGGACATGCCTTGTGACAGAAATTATCGTCACTTCTTGAATCTGATCCCAATAAGTTGAACCTATTTTTGGAGAGCTTCCTGGATAGATCTCAGAAAGCATGACTTGAGCCTGAATATTACAACATTCAATACCATAACAACGCAAGGAATGAGCATGTCGAATTTCTAAGGACAAAATTATCAAAGTAAAAATTAGAAGCTAGAGAAGAAACTAACAGAAATGTAAACACACAAAAAAAATAGCATGAAAGGATAGAGTCACTTAAAAACCACCAGGAAATTAGAGAGAACTCCTGAAAGATCAGAATTCATTGTAACACAAAAAAAAGCACAAAAACACTTATTTTATTTCCCCAAATTGAAGCATTACCGTGATACTCAGAAAAAGAATGATCTGATTTGTAAAAGCAGTCTTTTCTTTCTTATGGTGATCATGATATCCTAATGAAAAGAACATCTTTCAATCTCCCAATTTACATTACCAAAAGCATTTTTGAAGTTTGGACTTTCTATTTGTTGTTTCTTCATTTAACTGGAGAAGTTGGAGAAAACGAAAACTGTTCTTCACAGCCGATAAACCCCTTTATCAGAAAAAAGAAAGATATTGACACAAACTTCCATTCCCCTGAAAAAACAGGGATGGATACAAGCCATAAAAATTTACCAAACTAATAGAAAAACACGGCTGGTTGAGCAAAGATGGCCCTAAAAGGTGGGAAATTAGTTCTGTCATGAAAGATTGCAAGGCACATATGGTTTTTTCTTAATATTCCAAAGAAGAAGGCATAAGGAATTTGTTTTGCTTATACTCCCAAAAAGGAAAGAACTTGTGACATTCAAAAATAAAATGACATCTATAATTAGATTTCAACAAAGAAGTCAGAATTGAGTTTGCTTAAAGAGGAGAGCTAGACCAAGAAAGCTTACTGACCCACTAAAAGCCCTGGACTCCTCTGCTATTGAAAAATCAAAACTAGTAGTGCTGCATCTCACTATTATATCAAAATACCCAAGGCTGAAGGTAGGAGAACATCAAAGTTCTATACCATGCAAATCAAGCCAATGCTTGTAAAATGAGGATAATTTTCAACCTTGTAAATATATACTTGCCTGGTCTAGAAGCTGTTTCGACATATTCACTGACCTTGCAGAAGTTGCAGCAACATCAATACAGAGAAGAATCTAACAAGGAAACACAGTCAAAAGAATGTAATATGAATTATAAAAACAAAGAAAAAGGAAGAAAAATAAAATCAGGAAGACTTACAGTCGATAAAGGACCTAGCTGAGAACGCAAGGATGCAAAATCTAGTTCCTGTACAGTCGAAGAAGATCCGTCTATAACACGAGAGACTGCATCTTCTACCTGGGAAAAATTGAGTAAGAAACTGGAAAACAATGTAGATACAGTATATGCATGTAATTTAAATAAGTATATTCATTTGATACAAGTAACATTTGAAGAAAGGGACCAACACTTCAGTGGCTTCTGGTTCAGCGCAGTAGGATAGGGCAAACATGGCATGGATACATCCTCTTTAAGGTTTTCTTAAGTTAAATTTTGATGGAAGTAGCCAAGGTAACCCTCGCCCTTCTGGAATTGGAGGGATCATAAAAGAAAAGGAAAGAAATGTAATTCGATTTACAAATGAATCAAATAATCCTCAACAGGTCATTACAACCAGCATAAGAAGATTCAATGACTTCATTAAAAACTGTGAGTTGAAGGAACTCCCTTTGTTGCAAGCCCTCTATACTTGGTCTAACTTTCAGGAGATACCAACATGCTCCAAATTAAATAGGTTCCTTTTCAATGAAAGTTGGGAAAACAAGTGGACAGATTTGATAACTAGAGCTCTACCTAGAGTCACATCTGACCATTGCCCCATTGGCTTAGGACAGGAGCCTTTTAGGCAAGAACCCCGACCCTTTAGGTTTGAAAACATGTGGTTGACTCACCCGGATTTCGTGAAGAAGGTTGAGGAATGGTGGAGAGAAGATCTAAGGGGTGAAGTGGAAAGGGGTAAAATTTCACAAAAAAACTAAAAAAAATTGAGAGCACATATGAAGGATTGGAATAGGGAGCATTTTGGGAGAATAGAAGAAATGAAATCCTCTTTGATGACCAAATAGAGAAATTGGATGCAAAGGAATCCCAAAGAGTCATAAACTCTCAAGAAAGAGATCGGAGATGGAAGCTGAAAAGAGATTTAGATGAAGTCAGCTCGAGAGAAGAAATTTCTTGTAGGCAGAAATCTAGATGTAAGTGGCTCAAGGAAGGAGATCGGAACACTAAATTTTTTCATGAACAAGCCACTGGAAGAAGGAAAAACCTAGTATCCAAATTGGAAGTGCATGGACTAGTCCTTGATTCCCAAGAGGATAGCCAATAGTTTTGTTGACCATTTCAAATCCATCTTGAGACCCCTAAGACCTAGAGTGGAGTTGGAAGGTGTGACTTGGTAGAGGCTTCCAGAAGAGAGTAGATGCTGGTTGGAAAGGAATTTTGAGGCCGAATGGATTTACAAGGGCTTTCTTTCAAGATTGTTGTGACAAAGTCAAAGAAGATTTAATTGAGATCTTCAAGGAATTTGAGGATAATTCAGTGATTAGTCGTGGAATTAATGCTACTTTTTTAGCCTTGATTCCTAAGAAGAAAGAGGCTAAGCATCCAAAGGACTTTAGAACTATTAGTTTGGTGACTAGTGTATATAAGATTGTGGCTAAGGTCTTATCTTTAAGGATAAAAAAGGTGCTTCCATGTCTTATCAGCGAAGCCCAAGGAGCTTTTATTCAAGGGAGACAAATAATAGATCAGATCCTAATAGCAAATGAATGTGTGGAGGAGATGAAGAGATTGGGTCATCAAGGTTTTGTTTGTAAATTAGATCTTGAAAAGGCCTACAATTTAGTGGATTGGGGTTTCTTATTACTCGTGCTAAGGAAGAGTGGGTTTGGGGATAGATTGTGCAAATGGATAAATGGTTGCCTATCCTCCCGCCATTACTCCATCTTGGTCAATGGGGTAGTTAATGGTTTTTTCCCAGCTAGTAGGGGTCTGAGACAAGGTGATCCCATGTCACCTTTCCTATTTACTCTAGTTGTCGACGCTTTCAGTAGACTCCCCTCAAACGCGAATAGTGCCAAGTCTTTAAGAGGGTGGAGAATAGGTAGAGACAAAGCTTCAATCACCCATCTTCAATTTGCAGATGATATAATAACCTTTTGCGAAGGTAGCAATCTGATGGAGGTAAGAAAACTGAAGGAGTTAATAATTCACTTTGAGAGGGCCTCGAATTTAAAGATAAATTTTGAGAAGAGTTGTGTTGTGGGAATAAATTTGAACAGAGAGGAGATAGAATCTGTAGAAGCCTCTTTAGAATGCACTTGGTCATAGTGGCCTTTATCATACCTAGGACTTCCCTTAGGTGTAAATCTAAAGGAAAGTAGGTTTTGGAACCCAATTGTGGAAAAATTGGAAAAAAAGCTTGGCAGCTTGGAAGGGAAACTATATTTCCTTGGGGGGTAGAGTTACTTTGATCAAGGCAACTCTAGCCAACTTGCCAATATACTTCCTGTCAGTCTTTAGAATTCCTAAAAGGGAAGCAAAGAGGATGGAAAAACTGATGAGGGACTTCTTATGGGAACCTGGGGAAGAGAAAAAAGACCACTTGATTAGGTGGGAGGTGGTGAGTCAAAGCAAAAAAGGAGGCCTAGGATTCGGAAATGTAATCAGTAAAAATGAAGCTCTTTTAGGTAAAGTGGTTTTGGAGGTGGCCCCTAGAGAGAGAGAGGTTGTGGCATGAAGTAGTGAAGAGTATCCATAGTGGTTCTAAATCAGGTTGGGATGCAGGGGTATCCCAAAAGGCCCTGCTCACAACACCCTAGAAGGCTATTTCCGGCATTCTCCCCAAATTCCTCAAGTTTGCTAGGGGTGATGTTTGTTCTGGAAACTCCGTTCTTTTTTGGGAAGATATTTGGGTGAGCACTCAACCCCTAAAAGATTGTTTCCCATCTCTCTATTCCATCTCCCTCTATAAAAAGAAACCTATTTCATGGTTCCTCCCCCCCCCCCGGTTCTCCCTTTGGCTTTAAACTAGGATTTTGGGTTCTGAAGAGGTTTAAGGAATGACGAATTTTCTTGTGTTTCATAGCTTTTATTGCTTCTAGACTCTATGTGTTTGGACCCCCCTAACCCGAATAAAAGGGTTTGGCCTCTAACCCCGGTTGGCTCCTCCACTTGTGCATCTTTCTTTGAATCCCTTTGTTCCAACCCCTCCTCTCTGGTCAAGGCCAATACCTCCTAAAATAGATGTGTTCTATTGGGAATTTATGGTAAGATCAATACTGTGGAAAACTTGCAAAAGAAGAAACCTTATGTGTTTGTCCCCAAATTGGTGCTTTATGTGTAAAGTGAAGAGTGAAGACTGTAACCATTTGCTGCCAATATTTGGAATTGGGTTGTATCATTATTTGGGTGCAGATGGAACTTGCCCTCCAAAGTAAAGTTGCTATTCTCTCAGTGTTTTAAAAGCGCAAGGTGCAAAAAAGGCGCAAGGGCCATTTTGCGCCTGAGGCGCAAGGCAAGGCGTGCGCCTTTTTGAGGTAAGGTGCACAATTAAAAAAAAAAAAAGCTAAAAATTCAAAAAAAATGCAAAAAAACTAAATAAAAGCAAAAAAATCAAAACAATTATAGAACATAATATTAATAACAATATAAACTTAAGTTTTAAAATAAATGTTTTAAAAAACCTATTATCTAAAATTAAAATACATAAATATAATATGTAAAGCATATTCAAATGAGAATTTAAAAATAAAATCAAACATATAAAACATTTTCAAGCATATAAAACCCACAATCTCTTTTTTTTTCTCAATTGCATCAAGTAGCTAATGTGACATATTACATTCCTAATTCTACGAGCCGCCTTTGTGCCACGCCCCTCGAGGCAAGCCCAAACAAGTCCATGTTAGGGTCTTAAATTCTTAGTTTTCACACAGAAAATAATAATTTTATAGTTTTAATTGCTTTTAATAAGATATTTTATTAGGATGAATGAATGGACAACATTACGAAATAGAGGATTCTCGAAGCTCTAGTGAATCCCCTATTTGGTAATGTGGTCCATTCATTCATCCTAATAAAATATCTTCTTAAAAGCAATTAAAACTATAAAATTATTATTTTTTGTGTGAAAACTAAGAATTTCTGACCCTAACATGAACTTGTTTAGGCTGGCCTCGAGGGGCATGGCATGCGGGTCCGGAGGCGGAGCCCCCGGCCTAGCCGCCAGACTCAAAAAAAAGGGAAAGGTGGCAAATTTTCAAAAGGCACACGCCTAGGGTAAGGCGCAAGGCGCACCAGGCATGCGCCTTTTAAATGGGTTGCGCCTAGGACCTGGGCGAGGCGCCTAGGGGTGGAAACGAGTCGAGCTTTTCACGAGTTGCTCGAGCTCGGCTCGTGAAAAGCTCGGCTCGACTCGTTTCAACCAAGCTCAAGCTCGAGCCTCGAGCCCAATTCAGTGGCTCGATTGTTAAACGAGCAGAGCTCGAGCCTACTAGAGCTTGGCTCGTGAGGCTCGCAAGCCATCTCAAATAATATATATATAATAAAATTATAGAAAACAATATATATAATAAAAATATTATATTTTTATAAAATATTTTTTCTAAATATTTTTATAAAATATTTTTCTAAATATTTTTATAATAAAATATTTATAAAACATAAAACGAGCCGAGCCGAGCCGAGCTCGAGCTTATGAACTCTTAACTCAAGCCAAGCTCGAGCTCATGGTTCTGGCTCGAACCAAGCTCGAGCTCGAGCTCGAGCTCGAGCTCGAGCCTGGTACTATTCAGCTCGGCTCGGCTCAAATCCACCACTAGAGGCGCCTACCCTAAAATGCGCCTTGCCTGTACGCCTATGCGTGCCTGAGGCGCGCCTTTTAAATCACTGTATTCTCTCCGTCTACCTTTGGGATAATGACAAAAGAGGGAAGCTAATGTGGAAATGTATCAAAGTCGCTACCTTGTAGACCTTGTGGGAGGAGAGAAATGCTAGAATATTTCAAGAAGAGGAAATAAGCATTGATGAAGTCAAGGAGTGCATAATGATAAGGACAACCTTATGGTTGAAATCTTCACACTTGTAGGCGGATTACTCCATTGATGACTTAAGGAGAAATTGGGCAGCAGTGGCTTTTACAGTCTCCACAAAGAACAAACCACAAGCCGAATGGAAACCCCCACCGGATGGAATGGTAAAATTGAATTTTGATGGTATTTGCCAAGGTAACCCAAGGCCATCCGAAATAGGAGGGATTTTGAGAGACAAAGACAGCAACATGTTGTCTTTATTTTCAGGACCAGCAGGTGTTGGTGATTCTGCAAGGGCCGAGATACTAGCAGGGGTACAAGGTACACAGCTGGCCAATCAACTTGGAGTGAACAATTTGATAGTAGAAGGGGATTCCAAGATAGTAGTGGCTGGCTGAAAAGTCCAGAAACAGCTTGTTGGGGCTATAGAGATTTGTTAAAGAAAGTTAAATGGCTGACAAGAAATATGACAGTCAGGGTTCAGTGGGTTAGCAGATCAGCAAATTCAATGGCTGATTCTCTGGCCAAGCAAGGGGTATCAAGGGGATATCTGTTTTCGGCTACCTTGTAATTGTGTATCAGGCTTGTGTATGTTCAGTGCTTAATTGCTTATGGTTCAGTCCTTGGGGGAGGTAACACCTCGTGCCTCCTCCTAGGCTGACTGTACTTGCTTTATTTGAATTAATAGAATTACTCTCACTTATCAAAAAAACAAAAAAAAAGAAGGAAATGCAATGGCACTTTACTCAGGACTGGTGGGTCTATAAGGGCTGAACTATACGCTGTTCTACAAGATGCTCGGATTGCAAAAGAGTTGAACCTGCAGAATTTGGTGATTGAAGGGGATTCAAAGGTGGTAGTGCATTGGCTGAAGGAACCGGATTCAGTAACATGGTGTTATAGGGATGAAATAAAGAAACTCAAATGATCAACAAGTAATATGGATCTGCTTATACAATGAGTGGGGAGAGAGGCCAATGCATAGCTGATTCTTTAGCTAAGCAGGGAATACATAGGGATCAGTTGTATAGGGCTCAGTTGTAATTGTTTAATGCAATTTTCTTTTAGGGTGACGCTGCACCTCACGCCACTCCCAGGATGCTTGTAATGCTATTTATCTTTATTGATATCAATTAATTTTCAATTATCAAAAAAAAAGGAAAACTGACAGTTTCTCCCAATTTCATTCATACTAAATTGCTCCTTGCATTATTTCTATCCACCTGTATAAGATCTAGTAGCTACTACTACTACTTAGTATGGCACTTCTTTTGTCAAAACAACTTATATGCAAAATTGCAAATATAGGTATTAGGATTCGGCCTGCCCTTGAATCCTATTAAGTTGATAACAGTCAAGAAGAAGGAAGAGAAAGAGAAAGAGAAAGAGAGAGAAAGAAGAAGAGAAGAGAAGAAAGAGAGAGAGAGAGAGAGAGAGAGAACTGGTTCGAAAGAGAGAAAGAGATTACTCTCCCATTTGGCCAGAATTGATTTATATTACTTATATTGTGGAAAAGATACATGTGCCCCTACTTAAGTAAGGGACACTAAATCTAACATAATCTTACACATCAGCACATAAACACAAGTATAAAGACAGAACCATCCCTACATATTCGACACTAACACTCCCCCTCAAGCTGGAGAATATATATCATATAATCCCAGCTTGTTACACATGTAGTCCATTCTTCCCCAACTCAACCCTTTAGTAAACAAGTCTGCCCACTGGTTCCCTGTGTTAATATATGCAGTATCTATCATTCCACTCAGCACCTTCTCTCTCACAAAGTGACAATCAACCTCTATGTGCTTGGTTCTCTCATGAAACACTGGATTAGAAGAAAATGAACTGCAACTTGATTGTCACAGTAGAACTTCATTGGAGTGTCAACAATGTGTCCCATCTCCTGTAGGAGGTTCTTCAGCCACACTAATTCACAAGTAGTATGTGCCATAGCTTTATATTCTGCCTCTGCACTTCTTCTTGCCACAACTGCCTGCTTCTTACTTTTCCATGTCACCGGCCTAGTCAGCATCAGTATATCCTTCTATTTCAAGTTTTCCACCACTCTTGCATATCAAACCACGACCAAGAGCCCCCTCTAAATACCTCACAATTCTTAGAACTGCATACCAATGTGGAATCAGAGGATTCTGCATGATCTGTGGAGGGTTTTTCTTCCCTTATGTGTTTCACCATCTTCTTTTCCTTGAGAAAAACTTCTAAAGATTTAGCCCGGGATACATAATTTTCTCCATTCAGTTTAATGGAGGTCATTTGGACATTCAGGTAATCAGTAGGGACCATCACATTAGTCTTGCTATCACTTCCATCTCCCATAGCTGAATTCTGATATTGCTGAATTCGGCACACTGCACACTAAACCACACCACACACTGAACACACTGGTTTCAGCACTTAGTACTGCTGAAGATTGCACTCTTTACACCACAAACCCTACCCCACAACTACCAGAACACTCACCACACTGTTTGAGGACCACTCCCCTTTCGAATCATACTGAAAGAAAACATAAACCCTAGCACACTACAATTTGAAATCCCACCATACAATCTGAAATAGACTTATGATTTGATTCACAGCATGAAATTGCATAGAAATCTCTTACCTGATCACCAGAAAATCAGACCATACGAGACATCTACTGCACCACACGAATCAGCCCTCTTCTCTTCATCGATTAGGGGAGGGCTTCTTAGAAGCCACAGCAACCAACCACAAACAACACAACTGGAAGCATAGAAACCTCCAAGAGAGCGACCACTCCTTTTCAGCCCTTTCCCTCATCTCCAACAGATGGCAAAGAAACCAAGAGAAAACCCTAGACTGGGTGCGCAGAGAACAGAATTCTGGGCAGGTCTGATTTGCTCAGTTTGGCTCTGATACCATATTAGGATTCAGCCTGCCCTTGAATCCTATTAAGCTGATAACAGTCAAGAAGAAGAAAGAGAAAGAGAGAGAGAGAGAGAGAAAGAACTAGTTTGAATGAGAGAAAGAGATCACTCTCCCATTCAGCGAGAATTGATTTATATTACTTATATTGTGGAAAAGGCACATGTGCCCCTACTTAAGTAAGGGACACTAAATCTAACATAATCATACACATCAGCACATAAACATAAGTATAAAGACAGAACTACCCCTACATATTCGACACTAACAATAGGTATCATCTAAGCATAGTCTTACATTTTTCATATCATTAGTGAGGTTGGTTCTATCATTTGATTGCAATCAGTGGCTAACAAATCCATCCAGTGGTATCAATTTTCAATGAAGCAATGGCCAGTTGTTTGGATTGATTTAGTCAAGAAGATTCCGGCTAGCGATTAAAAGCCACACATAGGTGAACAGGCAAGGCACATTTTAAGGTATGTGCTTCCCAGGCACAGCACTTCCAAAAGGTGTGCACCTGGTAAGCCTTGCGCTTCATGCCCCTTATCAAAATCTGTGCATTTTGCTTTCTTTAAGCCTAGTGGCTGGACCTGGGGCTCCACCACCAGACCCCCAGCCAAGCCCCTTGAAGCAAGCCCAAACAAGTCCATTTCACTCACTTGTTGAAGCTTTGAAACCCCTATTTGCCAATGTTGTCCATTCATTCATCCTAATAGAAGATATTTTTAAAAGACAATTAAAATTATAAAACCATTTTTTTGTAAGGACTAAGAATTTAAGACCCTAACATGGACTTATTTGGACTTTGCCTCAAGGGGTTGGTACAAAGACAGCTCATAGATTCAGGAATGCAAAATGTTAACACATTAGCCATTTGAAGTAATGAAATTGGGAAAAAATAAAGTGATTGAAAGCTTCCCATGCTTGAATATGTTTTATATGTTATGTTTGATTTTTTTTTTAATTTTCATTTTGAATATGTTTTACATGTTATGTTTATGTATTTTAATTTGAGACAATAGGTTTTTAAAACATTTATTTTAAATTTTAAGTTTATATTTTTAATTAATATTATGTTTAATATTTTTAATTTTTTGGAACTATTTGCATTTTTTTACCTTGCTTCTAAACGGTGCATGTAGCCTAGTACCTTGCACTTTTAAAACACAGATACCAGCATTCATTTCCTCCAAATCGTACATAGACAGCTGCTCTCATACATGTCCACTATCTTCCTAACTAGGAAGAAAAAGGACAACCAGAACAAAACATTTTGTGTCCTGAGGGGACACAAATACTGCTCAAAGTGATTAGTAGGTGGGTTGTGGCTTCACAACTTGCCTTACACAAAAAACAAATATGAAGTAAAAGCATTTTCCATCTTCCACCACCTTAAAACATATAGTGCATCTAAGAGAAGATATCCTGAAATGATCAGACCAGACCACTAGCTAAATAGTATATGACACCAACAACAAATGTATATCCTATGAAAACCACCAGATTAAAAGAAAATTGAAGCCTATGTAACCTTCAGATGTTATACTTAAAGAGCAGTACAAATGCACTCAAACACTATATTGCAACTTAATGCAGTACAATGCGTAGAGTAGAACTATAACCATAATAAGACATCAAACAGGCTGAGCAGTTTGGATCATACCGATGCTTTTCTAAAAGCATGATCTACCCATTCAGCAAGTTCAAGAGTAGCTTTATCCTCAGGGGGTAAGGAAAACCTATGCACAGCCTCTTCTCCAATATCATACTTTGCCCTTTGCATGCAACTGTATAACAAAAAATAATCAAAGCAGTTAAACACTTGAACACTTAAACAATTGGGTAAACTAAAATTTCACAAGAAACAAAAGAAGATTTATTTTCCTGAAAAATGGAAGAGAGAAAGCAGAAGACATCATGAATCAGCACTAAAAGGGAAATGCTGTTTCAAAGTTTTAAGAAATTTATCATACAGGTTTAACAATTTAGAAGGAGCTGCACGTAGTATGGTCAGTGCCTCCTTCCAACTCCACTGGCGTTCAGATAATGGAAGAAGGCGTTGCAAAATAGACAAACGCCATTCCCAATCTTCAATAAAATGCTCAGCATTTGAAACTCTCCAATCCATGGCCTGTTTTCCTTCAGTAGTAACACCACTGCTCAACATGTGGTCTTGTTCAAATCCAGCACCTGATGGTAAATTGTGATGTAATATTTCAAGTAGAAACCCTGTGAAAGATACCACCATTTTGTTTCCCCTTTCACATATGGTACTAGGATCGGTTTGGTCCCAAATAGACATGTATGGTGATTCAGGATAGCTCTGGGCTGAGGCACAACGCTCCATATTCAGGGAGATGTCGTCCATATGTAGAAGTGAGATGATAATGCTCACCATAAATATCTGAATCAGTGGAAAGGTTTTCTATGAGTAAAAAGCACATAAGATGACATTCCATAGGAGATTCTATACTAAAACATAGATAAACACAGTTGAAATTTGAATGTTAATTTCATCCAATAGAGTGAAAACATTTTTACACAAGTAAAACAAAGGCCTCTCCACTCTCAAGTTTCAACATCACAGAGACCACTTCCGTGCCCCACATCTTAAGACATATCTGACCTATCAAAAGATACGAGAAACTGAATGACCATAATGATTGGTCTCACTCTCCTTATATGTGCTTTCTATGTAAAGAAAATGGTGAAACTGCTTCCCGCTCGCTAATCTCCTCTCCATAATATTTCAGTGTATATTTTCTCTTTGTTTCATTGTAGATAGAACCCTCCAAAAAGTGTGGGAAGTTCATTTGAGGACTCATTCATGGCCCTAGAAGAAAGGAGAGGAAAGTGTGTGAAGGCAGCAATTCTTTGAACAGTTTGGGAGGAAAGGAATGTAAGAATTTTCATAGAGAAATCTCGGTAAAGAGGCATATTAGTGAAGAATGTTACAACCCAGGTGGTTCATTGGATTAAAACCTTGCTCCTTTTTGCTCCTTTTCCATCAGAAGACACAGTGATGAGTTGGTACAACATAGCAAACCCTACAGTAATCAGAACAGCTACCACATGAATGTCGCATCCACCCAATCAGCATCAGCTTAAGTTGAACTATGATGGAAGCAGCATAGGAAGTAATAGGAGAGAGGGATTTGGGGGAGTAATAAAGGACGCTAGGAAAGCGTGTATCCTTTGTAAGGCTTATGGTGAAACCTGTAGAGAAGATGGGCCGAATGGCCCATAGGCTGTTTATCTTTTATGTTCCTTGCTGTAATGGGCCTTAATCTGGGCCTATCCTTTCTTATGTTATGTCTTTTTAATTTTCTGCCCAACTAAGGGCTTCTCTRTAAATTACCMAAGTTTAACTTAATAAAATAGAATTAAGGGTGTAAGAGAAGAGATTATGTTCGAAAATCTCTCTCTCTGAACCCTAGTTGCTTCCATCTTCTTCTTCATCTTCTCCCTTCTAGAATTCTGATTTCTGCTATTTTCTTTTGACTTTTTGTATCTTTCTAAACAGTCCTTTCCTCTCAAAGGCTGTTTTTCTTCTTGGTATCAGAGCAGGCTTGTTTTTCTTTCTTTTTCACCTTTTTTACCCATACACAGTGTGAATGGAGAACTGAATCGTATGAATAGTTAAAGACACCTTTTTCAGCCTAGTTATTAGTGGTATCTGGAGAGAAGAGGACTGACTTTGTCGCCCCCTTGACAGATTCAGGAGTGTTGCCCGAAACCCCAATTTTCTGGAAAAATCTGATTACGGGCCCCATAGGGAGTTTGACCTGGGCGCTCAGTGACTGAAGGCTTTCTTATTCTCCTTCTTGAAGATCGAATCAAGTGGTTTGGTGTTCTGTGAAGTCTACAAGGAGCGGTTATTTTTTCTCTATTTCTCCCAGCTTCCGAGTGACACAGATTACTGGTACGGCTGCATAGAGATTGGCTCACAACACAGTTTTTGTTCTGTCTTCATTTGGTGTTTTTCGAAGTTACTTGAAATCTTTTTTGAGGTGTTTAAGAAGATGAACCCATCAGACATTGAAAACAAACATATTGATGAATCCGGACAGGTTCCAGGAGCCTCTGTAGACTCTCTACTGGTTGTGACTACAGTCAAGCTGGATGGAACTAATTATCCGGCTTGATCACAATCAGTAAAGATTCATATTTGTAATAGAGGCAAGTGGGGTTTTATCTCTGGGAGCAAAAAGGCTCCTTCGGAAGATGACCCATCATATGAAAAGTGGGTGCAAGAAAATTATACTGTTATTGGGTGGCTTGTAAACTCAATGCAGCCACAGATTAGTCAGCACTATTTGTGGATGAATTCAGCAAAAGAAATTTGGGATAGTGTTGCTGAAACCTATTTCCAAAAATTAAATGTGGCCAGAGCTTACAAGTTGAGAAGTGATGTGAAAAATTTAAAACAGGGGGAGAAACCATTAGTCGTATACTTCTCAACACTAAAGTCTTTATGGCAAGAAATAGATTTGATAGAGGCTGTAACCTGGGACACCACTAATGATGTTGAGACCTACAGAAAACTGGTTGAGAGAAATAGGGTGTTTGAGTTCTTGATAGGACTAAATCCAGAGTATGATATTACAAAACAAAATATTTTATCCAATGATAGTGTCTCACTGTCTCAGGCATATGCCTTTTGGTAAGTAGTGAAGAAAGCAGGAGACTTGTCCAGGTCCAAGGGGTTGGTCTTAATGATCACTTTGCTAATATGGGAGTGAAACCAAAGGGGGTTACAGGAACTCCAAGTAGCTCAGGGAAGAAAGAGATTGTCTGTGAATACTGTAAAAAGTCAAAACACACTAAAGACAAGTGCTGGAAATTGCATCCTGAGCTACTACCACTTCGGTTCCAAAAGAAGCCTGATAATAAAAGGGTAGGGAGTGCTAATGTTGTTGTTGGTTCAAATAGTGACAGGTACCAAACTAAAGAGATGTCGGCTAGTGTGCAGTTAGCTACTATGAAGGCTGAATATGAGAAGTTTGGGAGGATGATTAGTCACCTAGAGGGTGTGACCTCTTCTTCCAACCCTTCAGAGAACTCAAACTCTTTTGCATTTGCTCATTCAGGTATACGGGCTTCTACCAATCATGCATCAATTTCAGGTAATCGTAGGATCCCTTGGATTATTGATTCTGGTGCTTCTGATCATATGACCAGCCTTTCTACTTTGTTCGTTTCATATGATTTACTTCCTGGACGTGACAAAATCACCCTAGCCGATGGCTCTCTTGCCCCTATCTCCGGCAAGGGAACCATCAAGGCTAAGGACCCCTTGGTTCTTCCTTCTACTCTCCATGTACCTAGACTAAATACAAACCTGTTATCTGGAGACCTTTGCCCCTGTTGATGGAACCATTGAAAGGTACAAGGCTAGGCTGGTTGCAAAAGGCTATACACAAACATATGGGATTGATTATCTGGAGACCTTTGCCCCTGTTGCCAAGATGACTTCTGTGAGAGTTCTTCTATCTTTGGCTGCACACTCAAACTGGCCACTTTATCAACTGGATGTAAAGAATGCTTTTCTGAATGGAGAATTACATGAGGAGGTTTATATGTCTCTCTTCCTCCAGGGATGTATGAAACAGATATGAAACGAAAGGTCTGCAGGCTGAAGAGATCTCTTTATGGATTCAAACAGTCCCCTAGAGCATGGTTTGAAAGGTTTAGGGCTGCCCCTGTTAGCTTTGGCTATGTACAGACACAGTCTAATCATACACTCTTTGTGAAGAGGAGAGGATTCTTACTTGTTTACCTGATTGTGTATGTTAATGATATTGTTGTGACTGGTAATGATGCCTCCGGAATTAATGAACTCAAATCTTTCCTTCATATAGAGTTTGAGATCAAAGATATAGGGGAATTGAGATACTTTCTTGGCATAGAAATTGCTAGATCCAAGGATGGGATTCTTATCTCTCAGAGGAAGTATGTTCTTGATTTGCTCACTGAAATAGGGAAGATGGGTGCCAGACCAGTTGCTACTCCTATTGATATGAGCCATAAACTCTCTGTTTCAGATGGAATATTGTTAGAGGACAAGGGAGTCTTCCAGAGACTACTTGGAAAACTTCTTTATCTATGCATGACTCGGCCAGACATTGCATATGCTGTCAGTTGCATCAGTCAGTTCATGCATGCCCCCAGGGATACTCATATGGCAGCAGCAGAGCGGATTCTGTGTTATTTGAAGGGCTCCCCTGGAAAGGGAATTCTATTTGCCAAACATGGCCATATGAAACTTGAATCCTACACAGATGCTGACTGGGCTGGAAACATTGATGACAGAAGATCTACCTCTAGATACTATAGATTGGTGGCTGGTAACATTGTCTCATGGAGAAGCAAGAAACAATCTGTTGTTGTTCGATCTTCAGCCGAAGCTGAATACCGAGCCATGGCACATGGAGTTTCTAAACTATTGTGGCTTAAATCATTGATGGAGGAACTGGGTGTTGAGCATGATAAGCCAATGATGTTATACTATGATAATCAGGCCGCCATCAACATTGCTCACTGTTGAGTGGGCTGATTTATGTTGGGCAGATTTATGTTTAGTTTGTTTTCTTTTAAATTAAGAAGTTGTTGGGCCTTGGGCCCATTAGTCTTTTATTTTTAAAAGAATTGTAATTACTTAGTTGAGTTGCCGCCCTACTAGGGGCATCTTTGTAATATCCCATATTTAAGTTAATTATAAATAGAATGAGGGGCTGGCGGCCAGGGTTATGTATCACTATCCTAGTCGACCTTCTTCTCCTTTTCTTCCCTTTCCTCTGTCTATTGTTGAAACCCCCAACTTTCTCCTATTCCTTTCACAAGAAGCTTGGCCGAAATCAGCACATAAGGCTTTCTACTTGGTATCAAAGCAAGTTGAAGGTTCTTGAAGAGATTCACTCCTGCAGCCCTAGATCGGCGGACTGCATGGAGATTTAAGAGGCTGATCGAAGCTCTCAAGTAAGCCTGGTTTTTGGATTTTCTTGATGGATCTGTATGCCCTGTAGTTGGTCTAGGGTTTCTCATCAGAATCAGGAAAAACTAGAAAAAGGGGAAGAGTCATGATTTTGTTGAACTCTTCAATTTTGACCTAGGTAGTGGCGCCCTAAGTTTTTAGGGTTCCTCTGAGTTTTTTGTAAGGGGCGATTCAAGTTCCATGTGGTTTGGAGGCTTCTAGAGAGGGCGGCTGCTTTTTCTCTCTCTTCTCCCATCCCACCAAAAAGGAATCTTTAGTGGGAAGAAAGTCCAGGACACCAAAGGAATGTCGTTGGTTCCAGAAGGTATTTCGTTTGTTCTTGCTGCATTTTTTGGTTGTTTTTCGTACCTCTTTTGAGACACATGGAGGGGCACAGAGTTGAATATAAGCCCGGGAATGAAATGGGACCA